GAGAGAGCAAACTATAAGAAAGGTGTTTGGAAATGCAATGTGTAGTACACTTCCTTTTTCCTTTCCTAATAGCAATGGGGATATCAAGGTCTGGGAAGGGTGGCTCCAAAGGGGCTGTAATAGTACCTGTTGTCTCATCTGTAACTGGAAGTGCATGAGGCTCATGTGTTGTAGGGGAAACAACCTACTCATTTCTGGTTCTTTGTCGTTAATACAACCTGGGATTAAAAAGAGGGCGAGGAGGTAAAGGAGGAGGAATAGGAACACTGGAATGAGAGTGAAGTAACTGATCCTCCCTTGATTCATTTGAAGGAGGAAGAGATTCGGCAAAAGACTCAATTGGGACAAGAAGAGGAAGAGCACACATGTGACAAATCCTCCCCCTTTGGACAATGTCTCTCCAGAGAAGAACCATAAAAGGAAGAAAGCTCAACAAAGGTGACATCCATTGAGACATGCCAGTCTTCGGATCAAAACAACAGTAACCCTTCTGTGTGGGGGAATAACCAAGGAAGATACACTTGTGGGCTTTTGGTTCAAATTTATGTCTTTGGACACTTGGGATATGTACATAACAGGTGCAGCCAAAGACACGAAGAGGAATAGGAAAAAAATCATTGTCCGGATGGAGACTGAAGGGAGACTTAAACCCTAAAACCCTGGATGGCATACAGTTTATAAGATAGGTAGCAGTGAGAACAGCATCACCCTAAAACTTTATAGGGACATGTGAGGCAAATAGAATACTTCTTGCAACTTCAACAATATGTCTATTTTTCTTTCAGCAAATCCATTCTATTTTGGGGTCCTTACACAGGAGTTTTGATGAATAACCCCTAAATCAGTGAGATAGCAGGTCGGGTTTTTCTCAAAATATTCTTTTGCATTGTCGGATCTGAAAATTTTAATCCTAGTATCAAACTGAGTTATGACAAATTCATGGAATTGCCTCATAAGTCTGGGAACTTCATCACGGGACTTCATCAAAAATATCCAAGTGAACCGAGAAAAGTCATCAATGAACAAAATAAAATATTTGTAGCCACCCATAGAGGGTAAGTGGTAGGGCCCCCACACATCAGAGTGCACAATATTAAAAGGAGAAGAAGATCTTTTATTACTCAGAGGATAACTATTTCTACAATGTTTTGACAGTTCACAAGACTCACAATGAATATTGGACAAACTAATTCCCTTAAACAGTTCTGGGAATAAATGACTTAATGCAGAAAAAGAAAGATGACCCAAACGAAAATGACATAACATGACTCGACTGATGGACTTTGTAAATGTAGACCCAAAAGCATCTTTTCCAAGTTGTTCATGGCACTGTCCAGGAGTATCCATCAAATATATTCCATTTGCCTCACGACCACTCACAATCACCTTCTGAGACTCCAGATCCTAAAAAGCACAGTAGGAAGTGAAGAAGGTTACACAACAGTTTAATGACTTAGTTAGGCTACTTACAGATAACAAGTTTGTATTTAGTCTGGGTACATGAAGAGTAGAAGGAAGAACCAAGGAATCTGTAGCCTTGATGGTTCCCTTGCCGGAGATAGGGGCAAGAGAGCCATCGGCTAGGGTGATTTTGTCACGTCCAGGAAGTAAATCATATGAAACAAACAAAGTAGAAAGGCTGATCATATGATCAAAAGCACCAAAATCAATAATCCAAGGGATCCTACGATTACCTTAAATGGTTGCATAATTGGCAAAAGCCCGTATACCTGAATGAGCAAATGCAGAAGAGACTGAATTTTCTAAAGGGTTGGAAGAAGAGGTCACACCCTCTATGTGACTGATCATCCTCCAAACTTCTCATATTCTGCCTTCATAGCTGCTAACTACACACTAGCCGTCATCTCTTCAGTTTGGTATCTGTCACTATCTGGACCAGTAGCAACATTAGCACTCCCTGCCTTTTTATTATCAGACTTCTTCTGAAACTGAAGTGGTAGGAGCTCAGAATGCAATTTCCAGCACTTGTCTTTAGTGTGTTTTGGCTTTTTACAATACTCACAGATAACCTCTTTCTTCCCTGAGCTACTTGGAGTCCCTGCAACCCCCTTGGGTTTCACTCCCATATTAGCAAAGTGATCATTTAGACCAGCCCCTTGGACCTGGACAAGTCTTCTGCTTTCTTCACTACTTACCAAGGCATATGCTTGAGATAGTGAGACACTATCCTTGGATAAAATATTTTGCTTTGTAATGTCATACTCTGGATTTAGCCCTGTCAAGAACTCAAACACCCTGTTTCTCTCAACCAGCTTTCTGTAGGTCTCAGCATCATTAGTGGTGTCTCAGGTTACAGCTTCTATCAAATCTATTTCTTGCCATAAAGATTTCAGTGTTGAGAAGTATACATCTAATGGTTTCTCCCCCTGTCTCAAATCCTTCACATCACTTCTCAACTTGTAAGCCCTAGCTAGATTTAATTTTTGGGAATAGGTTTCAGCAACACTATCCCAAATTTCCTCTGCCGAATTCATCCACAAATAGTGCCGACTAATCTGTGGTTGCATTGAATTCACAAGCCACCCAATAACAATATAATCTTCTTGCATCCACTTTTCATATGATGGATCATCTTCCGGAGGAGCCTTTTTGCTCCCGGAGATAAAACCCCACTTGCCTCTACTACAAATATGAATCTTCACTAATTGTGACCAAGCCAAATAATTAGTTCCATCCAGCTTGACTGCGGTCACAGCCAATAGAGAGTCTATAGAGGCTCCCGGAACCTGTCCGGATTCAGCAACATGCTTGTTTTCAAAGTCTGGGGAGTTCATCTTCTTAAATACTTCAAAAATGACTTCAAACAACTTCAAAAAACACCAAATGAAGACTGAACAAAAACTGTGTTGTGAGCCAACCTCTATGCAGCCGTACCAGTAATCTGTGTCACACCCGGAAGCTGGGAGAAATGGAGAAAATTCAGCCGCTCCTTGTAGACTTCACAGAACACCAATCCACTTGATTCGATCTTCAAGAAGGAGAATGAGAAAGCCTT